CATCAATTAAAATGTTCAAATAAGAATGCTTTCTTTGTGAAAAACAGGTGAGTTTATGGGCCCTAGAACTTAATAGAGGCCTTGTGCCCCAAGCATTACATGATAATTCGGATGACTCTAAAAGAACACTCCACCAAGAAATAAACCCTGGCTTTCTAGTCATACTTCCACACAGAACAGTTCTGCATCTCATTTTTTTCGATCTGAAAACTCAACTATAGCGCAATGGTGTGTTAGGCTGTTTCTAACTCTTAACTCCTAGGGGGCAATATATGAAAACACTCCACTGAACCAAATACTTTTAAGTGCCAAGTGAATGCTAACAGCATACGGGGTGTGCTGTAATACAACAAAACAGACATCATAGCATAATTCCTGTTATATAATATAAGCAAATCAAAGGGAGGAAGGTAGAAGAAATTATAAAATTATTGTTAATTTTCTTAGGCACAACAATGTACCTAGTAGTTCTGAAGGAGGGTATCTTTATTCCTTATAAATGTATCCCAAAATAAAAGGGGCCAAGTTCTTGATATATAAATATAGTGAGTTTATTTTCAAATGGCTCAAAAAAAAAATAAACTCCTTAGATAAAGTAAATACAGTAAAACATTAATTACTGAATCTAGGTGAAAGATACAATTCACTGTAGAAGTCTTAATTTTTCTCTATTTCAGACTATTCATAACAAAAAAAAATCAACCAATTAAAAATGTTGAGACAAAATCTGTATCAGGAATGAAAAGAACATACTACCAAAAATCATAGAAAAATAATTGCAAAAATTATGTTAGCTGGTTTCATACCTGAAACCCAACAAATGTTGTGCAACATAAAATATGACCTATCATTAAAATACAGATGAAACAATACTGACAAGTATATTGTACTGGGAAAAATCATTATTAATGAGAAAAAATTAGGCATAAGTACTATAAACCACGATTTGGACTCTGAAATAAAAATACAGGATTTGGAAAGAGAGCTAGGGTGGGAGAGACCATCAGAAACACAGAGACAACTGGATACCTGGCCAAAAAGTACGATGGGTTAAGAAAGATGAGCTGTCCAGAAGCTGCCAGAGAAGCAGAAGTCCAGCGTTCAGGAGCAAACACGCCCAAGGCACTAGGCAGGCATGACAGGAACAGAACACAAAGTCTACCACAAACTACCTTCTGGGACCTTAGAAGTGCAGCAGTGACCTCTCACCTCTGCATTTTGGAGTGCCTTAGAAAGCTAGGACCTTCTGTGCGCCTAAGTTTTAAACAATCTCAAATATATAAAGTTTCTAACTAAAACTTAGGCAATCCAGTTTGAGACAGCCAGAACGTAACTAGGGAGAATACATTCTCAAGAAAAATATCTTAAAAATAGCCCTAGAATGATTTCACTAAAAGTCACTGCAACAATGCAACAGAGCCATGACGAAAATATTCTAAACTGAAAAAGTACTTATGTTTTGTTAAAAGATTTTACACTCTAAGCACAAATCGAACACACAGTAATGGCTAAATAAATGTTACCTTTGTTTAAAAGTAGTCCATCATGGCTTTTTAAACACTGCTTTTGTTTTTCCAAAAAGATACACTAGGTTTTAATTTACATACTTTATTTCGCCTATTTATATATTATATATTATTGCCACAGATTTATGTCTATCTTGTAGTATTTTTACCTCTGTTACCTTTAACTTCATATCCACCATATTTATTATTCTATATACATAATTTTTATCAGAAAGTGTAGCTCTTAAAAACTGAACAGCATGCACAATTCACAAAGGCAGATGAATTACTAAAGCCCACCAAAGCAGCAGCAGAATTTTATGATCTTTAGTAGGTTAGTACAAAGAATGTACTTTGTATCTCTCAACGCAGCTTGGTTTGCAGCCCAAAGAATCCATATTAAGTACACAAAAGAATCAAAGCAGTTTGTTCCTCTAAATGCTGTAAGCCCTCAATGGAAGCCAGTAATTCATACAGACATCATTAGGGGAGGCTTTTGAGGAAAAGATAGTGTTTAAAATGTACCTGGGAAAATAAGTAACATCTTAGCAGACAGAAATTGGTAATTAGAGCTCTCTAAAATTAAGGAACAGCATGATGAAAGGCACAGAATGAAAAGCATTTTCAGGCTAGAGCACTTGGTCACAGAGCGCAAGGCAAGGGAGGCGCGGGTTCGAACAGAAAGCCAAGAATACAGCGGAACAGAAGCAGCTCCTTACGGTGGGGCAGATCATACACGGCTCTGCACACCACTCTGCAGGTCGGGAAGAGCGGTGCTGCGTGTTCCAACACAGAATGACATCATCCAGCCCGCACTTTAGGAAAAGGGTGCTATCCACAGAGGGAGCGAGAAACAGATTAGACTTCCAAGCCCAAAGGCGAGGAGAAGGCTGTGCGAGAGAGTAAAGTAAGGGCGGGGCCACACCTGCCTCCATCACAGGGCAGCACTGGTCAGCAGTAGAGCACTACTTGTCTAAAAGGCAAGAAAGAGTAAGCGAGGCTGCTGGAACTTTCCTAAGAACAAAGTAGGGCCACGATTAGGACCGCAGCAGCAGACAAGAAAGAAGAGGTTTAAAACACCCGTAAAGTCAACATAACCTAGTACACAAGTATAAGACGGTAGAGGGAACAAAGATTATAGTATAAAATGTATTGAGTGGCTGTTATTTTGATGTTGCAGTTCTGGCGCAAAGTAAAGTACTTCTTGAAATATGGCACTTCATATTACAACCTGTACAGTCGGTCTTAAAGATGTATTTCCCTCTAAATCAAACGTGCAAAATAGTTAAACAAGAAGCCAAAAGATGAACACAACACTGAATAAAAAGTAATAGTTTAAATGCCAGCCACAGTGGCATGTGCCTGCAATCTTAGCTACTTAAGAAGCTGAGTCAGCAGGATCTCTTGAGCCCAAGAGTTTAAGACCAGTCTGGACAACAAAGTGAGACCTCCTCTCAAAAAAACAAAACAGAACCAAAAAGAAGGCAGCTTGCAATGGGTCTTGAAAGTCATTTGACAGCAGAAAATTTTAGGACATGTGTAACATCACAGGTACTTAGAAAACATGTTTTATGCAAAACTTACTTTCTCCATCGCCATCTTTATCAAATTCTTCTATCATAGCTCGAAGCTCCTCATCACTCATATTTTCTCCCAGTTCTCTGGCAACACGTCGCAAGTTCCTCAAACTTATTTTACCTGAATCATCATCATCAAATAGTTTAAACGCCTTTAGGATTTCTTCATGTGGATCTCTTTCCAATATCCAGTCTGTCACTATAGTTAAAAAAAATTTTAAACAACCTGCATAATCACAAGTGCATGCATTTATGAATCAGCTAAACATTAAATGAGAATGAAAGCTTTCAATCCATTAACATTTAGTCTAAAATACTGTTACATGTAAAACGTTAAATTATATCCCCTACATCCAGAGATAAACCTAAAATCAGAAAAACCAAACACTTACTTCAAGTTCTAACCTTTTTACTAGCAATAATTTTTTGTTTTATAAGAGTGATCAAAATTATATCACACAGAAGCAAAAAAAAAAAAAAAAAAAAGGAAGGATTATATCATCTTTAAGGTCTACCAAGAATTGTAGTAGGACATCAAGCACGCAAGTCTAAGAGTCTATGGCTTAGTACAGACACACACCACAAAACAAGTACAGCTGACTAGACAAAGGCTTTTTTGTTAGCTCAGCTTAATACACTGGGTCTTTTCTCAAATACAGTCCAGGTTAAAAGCAAATGACAACAACAACAAAAAAAGGAAGAATTAACAAAAAGCACGGCCATCACTGCTTTAGGCACAATCTTCAGCAGTAGATGAAAATTCCACTAATATCTTCAGGAACAGAAGAAAGTCTCAGTTTTCCTAACTGTGGAAAACAGGTTAAAAGGATGGAATCTAATTATAGTATGAAAGACCCTCCAAAAGAAACCTCTAGGAAGGAGATCTCTCTAAATTCACATCCATTTTTCCCAGCAAGGTAACAACTCTTGAATTAAGAATAAATGTAATTTCAGAACTCAATAGTAGTAATATATCTAGTATAGTAAATAGAATCATATACAATATAGTATATGATTAGTAACTTAAATATTTTCAATAATGTCAATCTACAAGGCTACAATAAAAACACTGAAGTAAAATTGCAGTGTGAAAAAAAAAATTTAAATTATTAGATAAACTACTGCATAAAACTAAGTAAAGACCTGTGAATGTAAGTCTACAAGCTGTTCTACCTCTATAAGAAAAGGTATTTATGATTTTCATTATCCATTAAAAGTAATGTAGTGCTGGTCAGGTTTAAATCGTTAGAAAATTATAGCTGCTGGTAGATGGAATGTATTGGAATGCTTAATGAACCCAAAATGAAAAAATACAATCCAGGTAACCAACAATTTATTATCTTGCCGCTGTTCCATCTGTGTTTGGTTGAATAAGCACCTATTCAAACTAATGTTAAATCATTCACACATATATTCAGTACTTATCTTTTATCCATTAATTTATCCAAAAAAGCTTCCAAGTAACTAATTGAAGTATATTACTAAAAGTATGCAAATCATCAAAGCTCATAAATATTCAGTCAAAAAGGAATTGGCATATATACAGCCAGAACACCAAAATAAAATACCACACTTAACTCTGTGGCTCACACTCAACTTATTTTGAATTTAGTCCCAACAAAAAAGCAGGACAAGGAAAAAAAAGTGTTAAGAAATTTTCTTCACCAATTAAATAATATACATGACAGGTGAAGCAAAAAAGCAGCTTGCTGAAAGTATTAATGTACTTAAGAAGCAACAGGGTGATCTGGGGGAACAGATGGGGCTCCAAGATGTATAAATCCTTATCCCAATAGTACTTTGTTAGTTATTTCAGATTTACGTGTCTATATAATCTTTTATCAATGCTCTCCTTTAGAATGTGGATTTTCTTAGGAATTATAAATGTCCACAATTCTGGACAGCTAACAAAATTACCCAGCAAACAATTTTATGGTGACACACCTCCATGTTCTATTCTTTTCTACAAAGGAGAATTTAAAGGATTTTTTTTCAGTGAAAATAAGCCAAGTGACATATAAGTAGTTAAGGTGGGTCTCATTTATTTCACGAAACACCAAATTTTTGTCCACGTAACTGTTTTCAAGTGATTTAACTATACTATCAAAAACGTACTTCATCAAAATAATTTTACATATATACATACAAAAGTCACTTCAGAATATAATAAATTTTATTTTTTGTCTCTTTTTTTGAGACAGGGTCTCGCTATGCAGTTCAGGCTGGCCTTGAGCTCACTTTGTAGCCCAGGCTGGCCTCGAACTTGCAAAGATCCTCCTGCCTCAGCCTTCTGAGTCCTGGGATTACAGGCATATGCCACCATGCCCAGCTCTAGGAATATACTAAATTTTAAAACATCACATTAAAATAAATTTAAAACCACTAAAGGTAACACTAGAGTATCAACTCTATTTTTCACTGCCTTTTGGAAGTTCTATCCAACCACATTTCTCCTCAGTCCATCACATTATAGCCCAAACTCCTTCCAAGACCACCATGGGAATTCTTTGCCGCCTCCCTGATCACACCCAAAAGACAGCAGCAGCAGTAACAGCTACCTTTCCTTGTTTGAAAAATCTGCAACATTCTCAGTCCTACAATTCTTACCAGTGATTAGGTCCTATGAGTTTGAAGACACGATCTATTCCATGGGAAACATAACCCCTTTTTCCTCCTCACCGTCCTCAGCACACTTAGTCTAGTATTATCTGTCTGTGGTCACTTCTCTCCTACTCATCCTCTATCTTCTCATCAGTTATCTAACACATATTATATCCCATTCCTTAAAAATTGCTAGTGATTCTTTCCTGACTCAAGTCCAAACTGTAGTATGTAAGACTTTGCCAGTCTGGCCCAAATCTACTCTCCCAGTCATTTCCCTACATCCTCTACCTGAAGATTCCTGCACATGGCCATCGTCCTAGGACCGCACTTTGTTGTTGCTGTTTCCTATGCCTGGGATGCCTTTACTCTACCCTGCAATCTTCTTGGAAACCCTATTCACGCTCTCAAAGGACTAAGCCAAAACTCCCCTCTTCAAAGTCTTCTTCCATTCCCCTGGATGAGGAATTGATAAATCTTGGCTGACAGGCTGGACAGTGAATACTGCAGGCTTTCCAGGGGCCATCAGATCTCTGTCTGCACTACTCACTCTGCCATGACAGCACAAAAGCAGTATAAAAGACTGTGGCATTGCACACAGCATAGCCAAGTTCGGCTCAAGGTCATAGTCTGCCAATTCCTGCCCTGCACAAAATTACACTGTACCATACAGTGCCACAACCTGCCACCTAGTCTTAATTTTTAAGCTCTCTTCATAACATTAATTCTCCTTCCTGACAGCAGCACAGTTCCTAATGCCAAAAAAATTAGTAAATGTTTATGAAACAAAATGAAAATATAGAGTTTAATTCTAAATAGGCAATTAAACAATAAACGGCACATGTCAAAGATAGATGAAGTACAAACATTTGACTTACCTTCGTCTTAAAGACAGCAATTCTTAAAGCACTTACGTTAGTCACTAGCTCCAGAGTGCCCTGACTCTAAACCAGTGATGCTGAACCCTTGAGACCTGGTACTGCTAACACCCAGCTGCGGCGTGTGTGCCATAGGTTAGCCACCACTGCTCTAGACTTACGTGAAGTGTATTTTACTGCTTTTTTTCTAGTCCTTGGGAAAACGTAGTTAAGGCTGAACTTTATCTGGAAACACTTGTAGGACAGTGTCCTTGGGCAGTCACAGACGGTACATAAAAGGCTCAAATATTTTGATTCAGAGTCACTTGTCCCAAAGTATAAAACATGTATTAATCTGTGGCCCATTATTAGTGAAAAGTAATGAGCAAATGGGAGAGTGGTTCTTGACTGTTATAAATTTGTGAGAAGTGGTACTCTCAACAGACAGTGTAGTCTTAAGGATCGCTAAAGTAAGCTATGTCAAAAGGATGGCCTGTGAGTCAGAGCTGAAACCCTGCTGTAGCTCTTTATTCTAGGAGGGACCCAGTATTTCTGCTTTGTTGACAACATAGGAAAGGTAAGTTGTCAGAAAAAGGTTAAAAAGGTAAAAGTAGCATGGGATTCTGGTCTCAAGTGCTAATAAAAATTTAAGATGGCATGCAGTGATTTGCAAAATTGTTGATGATGATGATCACAGGGCTTAAAGCAGCCTGCAAGTATGAAAAAAGACGATGAGAAAAATATACAAAGTAGAATACTTGTTTATGTCCACTGATACTCATGTACTTCCAGCCAATGGAAAAAAGACTACTTTTTAAAGTAAAAAGAGCAAATACTTGGTAGCACTTACTATATGCCAGGCCCTTTTCCAAGGACCTCATGTACTGTTTTATTACTCTATTTAATTCTCTAAAGAACCCTATGAGAGGGGCTGGGGATTTAGCTCAGCGGCAAAAGCGCCTGCCTGGCAAGCGCAAGGTCGTGAGTTCGGTTCCTGGTACCGGAGAAAAATCACAAAAAAAAAAAGAACCCTATGAGACGTTATACCTACCCCCGTTTTACAGTTGAAAACGGAGTTCAAAGAAGTGAAACGATCAACTTCCACACCTAATACATGGTAAAACAAAGAACTAAATCCAAGACAAGGGGCCGGGGATATAGCTCAGCGGCGTAAGTGCCTGCCTGGCAAGCATAACATCCTGAGTTCGATTCCCAGTACCAAAAACAAACAAACAAACAAAAAACCCAATGAACCCAAGACAACCTGGTTTCAAAGCAGCCCATGCTAAACACTACATTTTACCAAATGTCCCTTAAGTATAGCTCTTTCCTAATACTGCATTTGCACATGCCCTAAAGCCTTGTTTCTATACCTCCTCCACGTTGTTCCTTGACATACAACAATGACAAACCCCAGGAAACAGAGGACCTGACTAGGAGAAGGGCAGTTCTTGCTTTCTCAAGGACGTAACTCTACAAATTAGAGGACAAAAAAGAAGATGCCTGCAGAAGGGACAAGCTGCATCTCTAAACAGTTATACATCAATTCATTGGCTGGTGACCTCCTAGGCTATGGTTTCTATCTCTTGGGCTTATTTATCTTCTCCTGCTTTGAGTTAAGTTTAAAAAAAAAAAAAAAATTATGATGTGAATCTATTTTTCATGCATCTACTGCCATTTATTTTTACTTCCCATGTTGCTTCTTGCTGAATATTTAAAATAAGAGGTTTGTACGTGGGGTGTATGTATATATAATTCCATTGGTTTCCAAATTTTTTAAATATCTGAAAATAACTATAGGAAAGTAATATGACCCATATAAAGTGTTACCAATGTTTTAGAAAAAAAAATAATAGAAATAATCTTAAATATTCATTCTGTGTACAATATTCTAGGCCATATATTTACATTATAATAGCCAAGGCCTACGCTTCCAGAATTCACTACTCTGAGAAAGCCTAATCTATACATACCATAAATAATACACTAAAATCAACCATACAACTATACAAAACATAACCATATTAAGCCCACAACACCGTATCTCCAGGTGGTTCTAAAATATTTTCTCTTGCCTCCAGTCAGCCAACTCCCTCCCTTACTGTAATCCTCTCCTCACCCTCAACAGATGATTTTATTCATTCAGATTAAGGTCAACCAGAGTACGTAGTCTCTCATAAACTCTGTCAACCTGGAGGCATATGCTTCATCTACATCCAAAAATACCAACCACCAGTTTCCTCTCTGCCCACTTTGCCAACAAAAATTACATACCAGAAAGGTCTCGGGAAATATTTTCCAAACAGCAGGATACCAAATTTTGTTTTACTGAGAGAAAATAATTTTTGATCACCCTTTTAGTTTTAACACACATTAATATAAACACACATTACATGGAAAAGGATCTTTCCACAAAAAAACTACACAATAGTTCCTTGTTAAAACAAAAGAAAAAACTGTAACTCTTACAGCAAAGCTGTAAAAATTTGTTAAATGAAAACCAGGGGGGAAAAAGAACACCAAAAGGAAAAAAAAAATCCAAATAAGAGTCATATTATATACCACCATTTAATAACAAAATTCCACAAGCCAGAGAATTTTTAAGAAACCATACTAATCCTATGACTTCTTAACAACCGCTGGTTATAAAGATGATTAAAATACACACCAACTTCATTAAAGTCTTCAAAGGTGATTTTCCCTGTGGCTTCTCTGTCATAATCTTTGAGAATCTTCAGTACATCTGCTTTTTTTACATCAAACCCCAAGGCTCTCATTGCCACCTTTTGGATTAAAAGGGAAAAGCAAATTAGAAAGCATTTTTTACAAAAGAAATGATTTCTGATTCTTAAATTTTTACAGTTTAAAAGATGACAATGTATTAATAAGATACAATTCTTTTGGAAGTTTAATATTTCCAAAATAAGAAAGGTATACTGTGGTTGTTCTTCACTACCGAAATTAAATGGAAATTCTATATCTTGCTTTCTTATATGACCAACTAACTAGCAAGTATGAAATATACTATGCAATGTACTGACTTAATGCACATATAATTTTACCAATCTATCTCTTTATTTTCATGGGACTAAAATCAAAATGGAAAAAAAAAACAGCATAAATTCTAAAAAGCTGTACAACAGAAATGACAAAAGCATTAAAATAAAAATTATCCTCAGATCCTATATGATTAATATTGGGTCCAAGAAATAGCGCAGAACACTGAGGAAGAGGGAGACAGAAGTGGGAGGGGAAGGGAGGGAAGGGAAAGGGAGAGCTTATTCCTTGGTCTCTTATTACTAGCAGTAACAAGAAAGAAGAGACATGTTATTGATTAACCAAGTCTCGGTCTCACTTGGAGAGATTCTGATTATTCCTTAAGGAACAGATAAAGAGGAGTAGTAGGGTATTTAGAAAGGGTAACTGGTAATAAAACAGACACTGACACAAAAAACAGGTTGGAGGGACAATGAACAGAACTATTTTGTTTTTCTGAATAGGAAGAGTTAAAGTGCAAGACAGCAGTCAGCAAGTGAGAAGAGTACATGCCAGTTAAAAGTACAGAAAAGCAAAGAAAGCACAGAAAGCAAAGAAATCTGAACTTTATGTAGTATGCCAAGAAGAGTCAGTAAAGGCTTATGAGCAATGAACAGAATTTTAAGAAAGATGTCATTCTAATGGTAGTGTACAAGATGATCTAGAAGTGGAGAAACAATTTAGAAAGTTCCAGTTACAAAATAAAGTCACAAACCACGATTGTCCTTAGCAACAAATGGAAGAGACATTGTAAAGGAAGAATACCTCGAACTGGGTAACTACATAAAAGCAACTAAAATGTGTTATGTACATGTACCAACTCCCCATGATGAATGTAATAACTATGTATTCCAAACATGGATTGATAATAAAAAATTTAAGAAGGGTTTCTTAATAACCAGCACTAAAAATGTGACCAAAAAACTGTAGAAAAACAGCTAAAGAGGACTACAAGACTGAGAGGGCTAGAATTATACCTCTATCCTTTCTCTTTATACATTTTAAACTGTCACTGAACAATACCTACCCTCTCTTTTGGAATTCTTGCATTTAAAGTCCCTTACAGCATTACCAAAAGTATCAAATACACATTTTTATTCACCTATTAAGGCTATTCAAAATCTCAAAATGCTATCTTTCTCACTGTACTGAATTTAAGACCCATATGACACACATAATAATTTCCCCTTACACCTTTTAAAATAATTCTAAGCCTTAACAGTTGACAATTTTTGCCATTAATGAATGTAAACATCAGCCAGACAATTTATACTGTTTGTAACCCAGAAAGTAGGCTGAGGCTACACAATTAGTATGTTGAAAATTAAAACAGTAAAAAACAACACTTCCTTAATCTCACAGTATGTGCTACCCCTCCAAAAAAGAAACCAATAGTGAGATTATTGTAAGAACAATTTAAATTCCATAATTTGAAATTTTTTAATTATGTTTATTATGATCAAATGATAAAAGCCTAAAAACTATGCTCGGAGTTCTATTCAGTTTTATTACAGCAACTAACTGGAATGCTTAAAATCGCTTCATAGTTCCAAAATTAGTTTAGCTACAGTACTTACTTACAAATATATTTGAAAGCATCTGTCAAAAATGTACATCATTATAATGGAGAAATATATATCTTAAAGTACAGTATTACCTTCAATTCATGATAATCTATTGCTTCATCTTTGTCTGTATCAAATAATTCAAAAGCATCTTTAATTTCTTGTTTCTGCTCCTCAGTGAGTTCTCTTCTTTTTTTCCTTTTTGTTTTGTCTACTACAAGCTCACTTCTATTAAACAGAAAAAAAAGTCTTTAGTCCACTTTAATCTAATTCTCTTATACAAATTAACCAAGGAGAGATTTTCTAAATTTCAAAAAAGAAAGTATTTTTGAGAAAAAGAAATTTTCCGAGTCAATGCCCTGCTTATTAATTTACACTTCTCAAAACTGAACAATTGCTGTAGAAAAAATAAGAACTATGAGCAAAACATATTACTTTTTATGCCAAAAATCCCAACAAAAAATCAAAGCACCCGTACTTATTATTCACATCATTCTACAAGAGTATAAAAAAAGAAAAACTCCAAATGAAAGTAAAATTAACTGAAATCACTATGTATTTATTTTTGTAGTCCATATAAACTCAAAATTTCTACCTTAAAAAGAATGTTATCAAGTAATTTATAAATTATTTTGACATTGTGAATTCAAAATGGTAGATTGCATGTTTCTAAACATTTGATATTTTACTTATAATTTCTTCTATTACTAATCACCCAAAATATTAATGAGCCTTAAACATATCACCAATCTTTGACATGAAAGGTAGTACATAATATTCCTAGTTCTAGATGAAAATGTTAAAAGTAATCTGTAAACGGTAGGTTAAACTTCTCGTAACAAACCCTGGGAATGTATACACAAAATAAAAAGTTGAACTTATTTTAAAGCCAGAAATGTCTGAGAGGCTGCCAATCTAAAAGTGCTCCAAGGATTTCAAATGAAGGTACAACACGTGTATAAGCACAAATTTAGAAAACTGGAAGGAGCTTATAAAACTTTAAAATGCAAAAACCAGTTCACTGTACTAGAATGTGTTACCATTTACATCTCAGAATCGTTTTAGCCTCTGAGCATGTATCCAAAAAAGGCAAGAGACGGCTAGCAAGTGAGCAGCAGGTGCAGCACAGTAACGCTGAGGAAGATCTTTTTTCCAGGCTTAACCTGGCTTGACATAAACGTGGGCGCTCTGGGGTCTGCCATTCATTCTCTTCCCACGACTCCAAGGGGTCACATCAGGAACACACCCGTGACCCCGCTCTTGGGTGACGATGACCCTTTAGAGAGAGCCACTCGGAAGGAACTGCATGGGTACTTTTACGTCACAACATGCAGGCTGTGGGAGTGGTAACAGATCTAGAGGGCCCAAGACTGGAAACGGATGAAAAGAACACCTCAAGAACAGGACACCTCAAGAAACAAGAAACCCAGGCAAGGCGTCGCCGGTGCAAGTAACTAGCATGGTTTGTACATGTACGAACTCCGCACGGTGGGTGCGATCACTGTGGACTGCAAACGTGGACTAATGAAAACAACCAGGACGGGCCTCTGGGGACACCGTCTGCAGGCCCTGGGGGCTGGGCAGGCTCTGTGTTATTCCAAGTTCGGGGGGTGATTCAGCGGGCAGCGGGAGCCCAGGACTGTGACCTCAAGGGCGGAAGGAGGCTGCAGGCTGAGAGCGCGGGCTCAGCGGGAAATCTCGCGACATTTCGCTCCCTCTCGCTCTCACAGCGGCCCACCGCGGGGCCGACCGCAGGGAGCGCCTCGGCGGAGGTCACAGGCTCATCCCCTGCGGGACACCCGGGCCCCCGCGGCTCCGGTCCCGCACTCCATCCCCGTCCTCGCGCGGGCCGCAGACGGCCTCCCTTCCACATACGCCCGCCCCCAGCCCCGCTCCGGGGTGAGGAGAGCACTGCCGCTTCTTTATTACCGACCTCAGAGCTAAACTCATTTTCTCTCCGGACAGAGACGTTCCGCGCAAGAACGACTTTACACCCCTCACCCAACGCAGCGCGACTCCCACCAGCCGTTCAACAGACGCAAACGACCTCGGCGGCCTCGAGGACCACCCACAAGGCAGAAACCGCTGAACGGGATTGGTTGACAGTTGCCAATGTTGCGTCCCTTCGGACAGAGGCTTCACTAGTCCTCTGTGTTCATTGGTCAAATTTCACGTCAATCAAAGAAATCTCTCTGCCCGTCTCCCCTGCTGCCCCTTCGGCCCCATTAGATTGGCCAGATGCTTTTTCCCGGAATGCTTTGCGCCCCGGCCTCTGGGTCCTCGCGGGGGAAGCGTGGGCGGCAGGCTGCGTAGGGACTGCGGCGTGCTGGGGCTGAGCGGCCGGGAGCGGGCGGTGGCTCGCGGCGGAGCGGGCGTGCTGATTGCGGCTTCCCTTCCCCTAGAGGGAAGAATGGTACCTGCGGAGCGAGGTGTGCAAAACTGCTTGGATAGCAAACTTTGGATGGCCGTGTGCTTGGAGAGCTTGTTTGAAACGCAGGTTTTAATGTGGTTCTCCATTCTGATTTCTAGAAGTGTGAAGCTGCATTTTCCCCTTCACAGATGGCCCAAGTGGTCGTAAGGCAGGCGCAGTGGACTACATGTCTGGATTACTCCTAGGTTGCATATTAGCTATTTACGATGAAGGTTTCTTCTCTGTTTCCCTTATTTTCCAGTTGTACACGTGATATTACCTTTACTGCAAACCAAGTGTCCTTGGGTAATGAATACTGTTACTTGTGTTGCTCCTCTCACCTATTAGGCTGAGTTTCTTGAAAGCCAGGACCTCTCCTCCATTTACTGCTATTCCTTGTGCCCAGTAAAACGTCTCATGCATAGGTCCTTAGTAAATTATTTGTTGCCTGGAATGCAGTCTTGCTATGAGAACTTACGAAGTATTGCGCTAAACAGCATGGCTCCTAAGTGTGAATAAAATAGCGTGAGGCTAGGAATTGGCAGAGGGGTGGAAAACAATATAGAGGATGGATAGAAAAGATTAGAAAAAAGAACCCATCGAGATAGAGGCTTCTTAAAGGAGGTGGCATTTAAGACCTGGACGAATGGCATGAACTTGGGCAAGTGAAAATCATAAAATAGAATATACTTCACAACAGCTATGGGGTAGGATGCCCCCCAAAAGTAGAAAGCTTTAAATTTTGAAGCACCTTTATTAATCACCTTTGAGTTTAAAAGATTGCGGCACACTAGAATGTAGTGACACTGAAAAACTATTAAATCTTTGAAGTAAAAACCAAACTTTAGAGGAAAATTATTTTAATTAAATAAGAGAAGATGAAAATAAACCAAACATTTTTGGATTTGAAGGTGTTGGACAAAAACACAAGAAATGGAGTTTAGAGGTGAAATGTTCAAAGAATGACTAGTGTGGTTCGTCTCATAGAAGTGGAGCACAGAATACTGATTACCAGAGGCTGGGACTGAGGGTGGGATGAACAGGCGGAGTCCGGTCAACAGGTTCTAAGTTATCATTAAGGAGAGGAATAAATTCTGGTGAAAGGTTACACAGTAGGGTGACTGTAACAATAATGTGTTTAGCGAGGGATGAAGCTCAGTGTCACAAGCCCATGCCTGGCAAGCACAAAGTCCTGCGTTTGATTCCCACTACGAAAAAAATAATAATAATAATAGTGTGTAGTATATTTTTCACTAGCTAGAAAAGAGGATTTCATATGTTTCACCACACAGAAATGTTACATATGTGAGATAATGGATATGCTATTTATCCTGACTCAATCATACAGTGTATGTCTCAAAACATCACAGTACCCCATAAATTTGCACAATTGTCGATTTAAAACAAAACGAATAACAGGTATAGAAGCAAAATAACAAGTGTTAAAGCTGGGCATGGTGGCACAAGCCTGTAATCACAGCACTTGAGAGGCTGAGGCAGAAGGATCTTTGTAAGTTTGACACCAGCGCGGGCTACAAAGTGAGCTCAAGGCTGGCCTGAACTGCATAGATCTTGTCTCAAAACGACAAAAAAAAAAAAAAAAAAAAAAAGTGTTAGTGAGGGTGTTGGGAAATTAGAAACTTTTGTGTTCTGCAGGAGGCTGGAATGGAAAATGATAGCCCCACCTCAGAAAACAGTAGGGTGATTCCTGGGGGGAAAAAACTCCTGGGTATGTATCTGTGTATCATACTTCCAAAAGAAATAGAAGCAGGGACCCAAACATGTGTTTGTACATCCATGTTCACAGCAACATTCTTCACAAAAGCCAAAATGCAGAAACAGTCCATATGTCCACTGACACGTGAATGGATAAAATGTAGTGTGTGCATATAATGGAATATTATTCAGCCTTCTAACCTCAGATCCTTATACATGCTGCAACATGGGTGAAACTTGAAAGCACTGTGCAAAGTGAAAAATGCCAGGCACAAAAGGATGCATTTTACAGCATTCCGCTTACATGAAGTGCCTAGAACAGGGAGAGTCATAGGGGGAGAGAAAATCGTGGCTAACGTGGGTTGTGCGGGAATGGGGAATGGGTAAAGCACTTCACTTTGGGATGACAGAAATATAGAAAATAAAGGAGCCGTTAAAAAAGAAAGATACTACAAGGACACAATTGGATAAACCCAAATAGTGAAACATTTAACAAGTCAATGCAGGAAAAAAGGGTCTGATCTAGCTTAAAAGGGACTTGAGAAATATTAGATAAAATATCTAACCCGATAAAATCCTTGTCCTCATTTAGACACTGGTGTGGACAAAGCAGCCACAGAAGGCATTATAAAGATAATTGAGGGAATTTGAATATGAATGAGAAATTCAGCAATATAAAGAAATTATTATTAATTTTGTCAGGCAATCTAATAATATTTTTGTCCATGTATGAAAATGTGCTTCTTTTCAGAGATGCAAACTGAAGTGTTTCAAGGTGAAATGTTCAAACTATAATTTACTTTAAAATAGCACATGAAAAAGTTTTTAAAATTCAAAGGTACAATGACAAATTCTATAAAGAAAATAAGGGGGAAGAGCTGGGAGGTAATCAGGACTTGAGTACTATAGATCTGAGGGGTTGCTGACAAAGTGACATTTAGTCTGAAATACTAAATGGCTGCCAACTGTGTCAGTCCGGGTCTTCCTAGGTTTCGATGGCAAGATAGAATTAGTCAGAAAAGAGACTAAGAAGCACCTGTGAAAAATAAAGGCATACCGACCGGAAGAAAGGACAATCCGTAGACCACAGTGGGTGGTCAGTTCTGACATGTGAGAGAGTAGAGCAGGGAGGGAGGATTGGGTGGGAAGAGCTTCAAAGTCCAGCACAATTGTGACAAACCCTCAGGGCACTGAAGAGCCCCAGAGCAAAATTTGCCCTTCAGAGGAGTCCTGTGCAGGACTGGTCAAGCTCCGCTGTCCCGACTGACAGTCTCCTAGGACTGTGCTCAGCACTGGCTGGACACAGCCACGGCTAAGTGAGGCGAGGCGAGAAGGCTGAGGTGTGGGTGAAGGCATGGGCACTGGAATGTGCGACCTCTGATCCCCAAGACTGAGGAGGGCAATAGGCCTTCATTGCAGTCCCCTTGGCCTCACACAGAGCTAGAGGGACAGCATACCAAGAGGAGGAGATGGAGAGGCCAAGGCCCTACTGTGGGAGAAGATCAGCACATTCAGAGAAGAGGAAGAATTAAGTGTTTGAAGCGTAATGAGAGTGGTAGGACAGTACAGGAGTCATAAGGATAAGCAGAGTTCTAATCCTATGGAGCCCGACAGACCATGATGTGGTCATGAATTTTATTCAAGTGATATTTAAAGACATTATCAGGCTTTAAGCCATTATGGTGATCTGATTTTGATTTTACATTCAAACTTCATGAGACACTAACCTATACTTACAGCATCCCTTTCCTTATATCTCATTTTCTCCAAATCCAACTGCGTCGTTTCCTCTCTACTGGAAATGGGGTTACTAGGTCACCAAAGACTTGTTACCTGTTGGATTCAGTTGCTGCTCTTCAGTTCCCATCCCACTTCTCCCCACAGCCACATGTGCACATGGGCCACCTACTCCTCGAGCTGCCCTGTTGGCTGCTTTGCGTTACTTCTCCTACTTTCCTTTGATTGGCTTTTTCTCATCCCCTCACTAAATGTTTATTTTTCTTTTTCAAAATTACCATCCTTAATAGTTTCACACTATCCTTAGATACTGTCATCTCCTAAATTTCACCCACATGCCAATGACTCTAAAATTCTTCAAAGACTTTTATCTCTTGCACTCCATTCTCACTCTCCAAACCTACAATTATGTGTGTGGATTGTGCACTTCTTCTGTGGGGATGATTACACCCAAACAGAAATCATCACCTCCCCAAATCCTTCCTATGCGTTCTCTATCTTCAGTAATGCCATCATGGGATGGATCACAGGCTGGTAGGTAAAAGAAAAAACTATAAAGCATCTGAAAAAATAGAACATCTTTATGACTTTGGAGGCAGACAAGAGTTACTAAATAAGAGTTAAAAAGCACTAAACATAAAAGTAAAGATTAAGAAATTATACATTAAAATTTAAAATTTCTGCTAATCACAAACATCATTAGACATGAAATGGCAAATTACAGACTGAAAGAAATATATATATATATATATATATTATATATATAAAACAAACCATTACAAATTATACAGCAACTAAAACTCTAATAAGTATAGTGGACAAAATCTTTGTGTAGACACTTTACCAAAGTGCTAAGTGACCAAAGGAACATAGGAAAAAGTGTTCAACATCATTATTTATCAGTAAAACATAAGTTAAAACCAAAATTAATATTGTATATGCACCAAAATGGCTAAAATTAAATAAAAAGTTTTAAAGACTAACAGTGTCAAATAGTAAGCAGAATATAGATCAGTTCTCTAGTACTCCTAGTCTGAGTGTAAAATGATATGACCATTTTATAAACTAACATTAATAATTCACTTACATTATGACACAGTGATTTCACTCTTAGGTATATACTTAAAGGAATGTATGTCTTCAAAACAAAAAACAAAAAACTTTCACAAGGCCAGGCATGGTG